TGTTGCTACTTGTTACAGGTTTGCTGAAGTTAGGTGTGAGAAACATAGGCTTAGTGTGATCCTCCAGCCCTTCAGTAAGGAGTTTTGCAGGGTGGATTGATTATCTTGAAATACTCTCCCTTAGTAAGTCAGTTCTGTAAGTAAATGCAGAGAACTTTTGCAGGTGTGATGAAGATCAGTAAGGGTGTTCTCAGAACACGAGATAAGACAGTCTGGGTTGACCATCTTTTTATCACCCAGCTTATATCATGATCTGTTTCGTGAAAAATTGCTCTGTACTAATGTAGAACTATAGCAGACTAAATTGACCTTATGCTTCTTCCCTTTGGTTTGCTAGCCACTAAGCTGTAATCCATCTGTTAACAATCATGTTGAGTAATGCAGTTTTTGATTCAAAGACTGGCTTAGCTTAGTCAACATTTGTTTCAACATCATCTGTTTCACAGCACGTCTTAGCTTGCTGCATACTTCATTGTAAGATTAGTGCCTTTTCTTTACTGAAAATAGTTTTAAAACTGCCTGCTGCTTTTGCTGTTTGAGCTTAAAACAACTCCTGAACATAGTTAACAAGCTGTTCATGTCTCTTCTTGGAAAGGGTTATAATTTTTCTTAAACAGTAATTGTCATATAAGCTACATCGTGTAACATATAATGGAGTAATTTTGTCAAGTCATTTTATTTTACAGTGTAGGTGCTATAGAATGTGCTCTTGTTCACCTACTAAGGGACCAAAAGGAAACATGTGTGGACAGACATGGTGGAAGTTGTTGTTGCTCAGCAAATGAAGGATAGTACTGCTGCTGTTTTAGAGAGCGACAAATTCTTCTAAATAGGCTCCGATGCTTTTGTATTGAGAACAGCATCAGTAATACTGCTGCAGTTCAACTGGATTGTAGAGCTGAGTTAGCAATAAGGTGTGTCTGTACCTGCCAAGCTGAGAAAGTGCTCAGGCCTCTGTTGGGTTTGAAGCAAGTGCAGAATATCCCAAGGTGCCTAGGTAGCCAGGCATAAATGCCTGCTGAAAACCAGTGAGATTTGTGCTTTGTCACTGAGAAACTGTGAAAACTGTACACTAAAGCTATAGACTGTCAGGATCTGTGATGTAATCCTCAGTGCACCCAGTTAGGTTATAACCCTTAAGTAAATTCAACCAAATTTTCTTCATCTCTCAATCACTATCAAAAGCATGGCAGACAACCCATCAAGCACATTTATTTTAATCACAGATTTATTGTAGCACACAGACTTCTTGTGTATGTTGTAGAAGGTGATCACTTTTCAGATAGGATCAGGCAGATGCTGGTGTTAAATATTTCCCTTAATACTGAACCATTCATATGCATAAATCTTCATAGGGCTGATGCCTTAAGCACTGATCTTGCAGGCTGTTCTGTGGGGAATTAATTGCAGTATCAGAGCTCTAGGTGACAGGAGCAGGATGGGAGTAGGATAGGAAACAGCAGGCAAAATACAGACAAAATAAGCATGTTTGCAGTTGTGTTCTAAAACTATGAAACAAATGCTTTTTTTTTTTCCTGCTATATTTTTAAAGCTTCTGGCATTTTTACATGTTTCTAAGTATGTGGGACAAAGCTTTTTATTTTTCTTTGAAAATAACATAGGAGTCTTCTCACTTTGATTTCAAGTTACAGTTGTTAATATTTTGGGTTATTACCTGACACTTGTCTCTCTAATTTTTTTGATTTCATTCTGTTAGCTGCATCAGCTCTACCCATGTGATATGAATGCTTACAAATATTTAGGCAAGTATTTAAGCGCTGACTTTCTTATTTAAAAATAGGATATGTTTCATCTTTTCTTTTTAAAATTTCTGGTATTGAAATATTTGCATCTTATTTTCATGCAAATTAAATTTGATATCTGTACTTACAACATTTTCTCCAATGTTTTTCTTATGAACTACGCTAACCTATCATCCTAGTTTAACTAGTTGAACTTGTTAATGTCTTTATAGCTCATTTTTCCTTTTAAATAATCTATTTCTTAAGGTAGCAATTCACCCCATTTCTAGGCCGGACATGTGTCTTGTCCTCTATTTAGTGTTTTGTGAAAGTCTTTCAGTTGCTACAGTACCTGCCAAGTGGTGTGGGAGGTGTGGACAGAATTGATAGAAAAATGTTCATTACAATGTTGTAGTCAGCCCTGCATCTGTCCGTGAGATGCTGTTTGGAGGATAGATACCTCTGGTGTCCTTGGTTATTCTAGCTGAAGAACTGAGGCTGAGAAGCATATGTTATAGTGAAAATTGAATAGGATACCTAAGAAAAGTATCAGTTTTTCTTCAGTCCTCTCTATGTTAAGGAAGTAGCGAGTAAGACCAGAGACAGAGGACTGGGGGATTAGTAGTACTTCTTTCTGGCTCTAAACAGGAACAGATGTGGGCTATGCTATCCATCTTTACGTGACTTTCTCACATAATCCAGCCTTCTTTCCTGCGCTGCCCTACTTGCTAAGCTCTAACTTTCATCCCACTGACGCCCCATAAAAAGGAGGGCGAGTTAACGCGGGAGAGCGCTGCTGGTGCCTTGCCCTGTTGCTATGAACGCGCTGGCCAGCTGGTTTGCTCTCACGCGTGTGTGTGTGTGATCCGTGTAGCACCATGATTAGGGCAGTCGCTTCTACAGTGCCAAAAGATTTACTGTCCTGCAGCGTTCCGGTTGCTACTGTGGTCCTGTTTGCATCTGCTGTTTTCAGCAGCAGGCTAGCTGTAAGGGGAAAATAACAATACTTTGATGGCAAATACGAGAAAACATTTTAAAATTATGGCAAGTAACTACAAGTTTAAGATATTTTTTTCTGCCTTTTTTAAAAATAGCTGCTCTGGTTGTATGTAGACAGCAAAAATAGTTTTAAGACAAATTGGTGCAATGTAGGAGTAATATGGATAAATTTACAGGAAGAGCTTTAAAATGATTCTTGAGATATGATTTGAATGGCAATAGTATGAGCAAGCTACAGTCTAGGAGTTTGCCTTAGGCTTTTTCATACCTGTGTAGGCAAGCAGCTCACTCGTGTCTCTTTGTGGGAGTGCCTCCTTCCGGGCTATCCTAGAATTCCTGAAGATCCCTGTCTGAATCAACCTGTGGCTAGTGACTGCAGTAACTTCTTTATCTGTCCCTGACAGCTGGGAGGTTTGATTTCCGTCTCGGTCATTATTTGGTCACCTTACCTGATAGGATTATTATAGATTTAAGATTCAAGAACTGGGTCTGCAGATAAGCAAAATGACACTGCATTTTTCATCCCTTCTTTTTAATAGCTATTTCAGTAAGTCCTCAAGGCTCCACTGTGCTCCTCTTTTATGAAAGAGGAATTCCTCAGAGACTGTACGAGCTATAGGCAGACAGGCTTTACAAACGAGAGGTTACAGACGTTCACCGCTGCGAGAAACACAAAGGACAGGAGAAAATTGCTACTTCTCCTCTCTTTACAAAGAGAGCATGGAGAGGAAGTAATAAGCCAGATCTGGTTCTTGAACTTGGTTCTCTGGTGTCTCTCTAGTGCCTTTCATCCCAGAACAGCTTTTTTCACAGCTTGTCCTCCTGTGCACACTGCCCACCTGCCTACCTCCATCCTGTCCCAAGCAAGCGGCTGCCCAGCTGGAGTAACAGTATGGCTGCTTGATGGCATCAGCGGCTGAGGGAATTTTGATTTTGAAACCTTGAAGTTTTGACCTTGAAATCGTGTAAATTAATTTAAGAAATGATGGCCTCCAAAGCCATATCAGGTATTACAGAGAGGGCAGAGAGCACTGCTGCCTGTAGGAGGATTGGGTTGCATTTACTGTCTTGGCAAGCTCCGGCACATTTTACCTTCATTCCTGAAAGCAGGGAGGAGTAAGGAAATTTAAAACAGGCTAGCAAAAAACTATGCAATAATTTCACACCATTAGATCTCTGCTTTATTTTTCCAACTTAATAATTCAGTCTTCAGCCAAGAAAACACAGCAGCCAATTGAAAGTTACCATTTCAGAGTGTGCTGTCTATATTAGGCCACTCTCAAGATACAAAGGACACGGCTTTGAAATCCTGAGAGTCCCCTTGCCCATGATGCTGTGGGCACAGGATGATCTCAATGCTGTGCAAAAGAGCCCACAGGTTGTGGAGCTAGAAGTCATAGAAATTGTATATCCTAGAACGAAGCTTGAAGTTACACCTGCTACAATGTGGTTAGAGTTGACTGAGCATAACTCCAAGATTATTTGTGAAGGTAGGCATGCAAATGTGAAAACAACAAAAATTCATTTTTGAAAGAGCAATAGCCCATATCCTCCACCTATTTAAATTTAGAGGAAGCTGCTTTTTACTTCAATCTAGAGCAGAACTGAACCCGACATATTTTACTGTGACCTCTGCTTTGCAGCATACGCACAGCAAGGCATTTCCCAGAAGCTTCTCTCTGACTTCCAATAAAAAGCCAGAGTATTCTGTGGCTTGCAGCAGGGACATGGAGTCTTGCCAGCAAGAATCTGCAGCTAACAGTCACTTAGCGTGAGTACTTGGTTTCCTGACAGTTCTGTGTTCAAGGAGAGAATCATCAATAAGGGAGGATGCAGTATTTACTTTCCTTGTTTTCTTTTATTCAAGAACCGTTACTGTTCAGGCAGTTGCTTAATTTATACTTCAGAAGGGTTTGCTATGAGTACTGAGGTCTCTTTTCTGGCTGATGCAGCAAAACATATAATTGCTGTTAAACCTTTGCACAATGTTCTGCTCTGCTTAAAGCACCACTGACAGGACAGTATTAAACTTTGAACAGCAAATTAATTCCTTCATTTTGCTCAGGAAGTGCCTAAAGTTTCTCGTATGAACATGGGGTTGTTATTGGTCTTTTCTACCTCTTTTTCTTTTTAATTGTTTCTTTTTCTTTGCAGATCTGGGATTATTTTAAGGTGTTTTGATAAAACACAGTAATGAGTACTCACAAGCTGGTAGAGTTGCTTTGAATTTACATCAGTATGTGGCAGTTGCAGAATCTAATGAAATTAGCATTGCATGATTCACAAGGGAATATAAGGAGTGACAAAAATCATGGTGATACGTCTATGGAGTGATGTTAGCACAAGGCAATACTGTAGTGACAAAGACTGTCTTCCTCATAGAAAAAGGTGCAATTGATTCATTTCCCCCCCAAAATTAAACAATGTAATCCAGATTTCCCAGTTGTCCCAGTGTAAATGTTATACTGGATAAATTGGATATTTAATAGAACATTGATTAGCCTTACTGGAAACCCAAATGAGGTTAAAGCATTAATTATTCATTTAAGCTGGTCTTGTAAGCAAGAGTGGAAGTCTCAACCTAGCTTGTCTTGAAAAGTTCATCTGTGTATGTCTTACGCTATACACCTTTACAGATCTCATCTGTGTTCACTAATAAAGAAAAAAAAAATGTTTTCAGGCAGTGCTCAGCAGCACTGGAAGTTAAAACTGTTATAAACCAACGTGAAACCTTGGAAAAGTTTTATTTGTGGTCTTTTGTAATTAGTCTTTGTAAAATTGTAAAGACTGTGACAGCTTAGACTTCTATGGGAACTGTGGCTTTCATAGTTAGTCTTGAAAAGTGCTGAAGGAATAAAAATAAGACAAAATGTTCAAAGGAATTGTTGCACCTGTTTGATCCGTATGCCTGCTTCCAGCATCCCTTTGCTCAAGTGTAGACACTTGTCTACATTTAGCCCATACCCAGGGCCAAACTGTAACAGTTGTTCTATCACCTGATTGACCCCTCACCAGCCAGGAAGGGGAATCAGGAAAAGGAGAGCAGATCTGTGAGTTGAAGTCAAAACAGATTTAATAAAACAGCACTCATACTCAAAGGTATACAAAGTTGTACTCAGCCAAATGAATACACTATGGTCACCATCAACAGGCAAGCAGTCCTCAGGAGCAGGAGGAACCCCACAGGAGCTCCCTCTCCTCAGCAAACCTTCTCCCTTTACAATGCCCATGACATTACGGGATGGGCTACCCCTGTAGCTAACCCAGGTCAGCTGCCCTGGCTAACTTGAAACTGCTAATGGCCTGCCCAGCAGGGATGGGCTGTGACTCCATCCCAGCCAAACCAGGCCAACACTGCACTAGTTTAACTAGAGGCAGTTTAAAAAACAGTTCACTTAGCCTGGGTGCTTTTGATGGGATGCCAGTTGTTTGAAACCAGATCCATTGTGTTAGTAGGTGTTTGCACCTTGCTGCTGTGAGCTAGACTGATGTTATGTTTAACCTTACACAAAAAGATCATGAACCTTGTTATACTGTTTAGGCTAAAATGATAATCACGTCTTGACTTAATCTGACACGATTTGTATGTAGACAAGTATCAGTTCACATCAGTATACTGGAACTGGTAAATACTTGACTTGTGTTTAAATTACACTGCCCGGGCAGTAAGTATGTGCTTTACGATACAAAGACAATTGTGAAACCTCAGTACTGAACCAAGAATGTGTTGCTCTGGTAGCATCTCTCCCTTGGAAAGTTGTTGATTTACGTTCTTTTAATTTCTTTTAATTTGGAAGATAGTCATGGTGTTAATATATTTGGATTTGAAACTTCAGTAAAGGCAATGCAGCTCCTCAAGTTAGTGTTTGTCCACTCGTGCACTTTCCAATGAATGCTGCTTCCAGAAATATGGCAGATGTGGCATATGTGACCATCAGGACTGACTCACTGTCCTAGGTACTCATGCGACTCCTTCCATCCCAGTGTCTGGGAACCTTGCCCTCTGTATTTATTCTCACAGTAGGGTGAGGCTAACAGTGCTGTTACACCTGGTTTACAGTCAGGGACACTCGAGACATAGCGAAACTAACATTCGGATGACCTAATTCTAAGCTGATAGGTTACAGACTCAGACTTAGCTGAACTTCACTGTCTGACTTCGGTCCTTTAGAGTTAAGGGCATGCCGTTCAAAGAGCCCAGATATCTGTTGTGGACCAGGAGGTGGAACCTGGGTTATCCAGCTCTTAAATTAATGACCTGTCGCTAATTATATTGGCTGGAGTCTGTTATTGTCTTTGTCATGATATAGAGTTGTCTTATTGCACCACTGCTGCTGGAGCGTGATGCCTGAGAATATATCCGCTAGCATGCAGTTGTTGTGCGGAGGGTTGGTGCGGGCAGAGCCTGAAATATTTACAGCCTCAAGATCAGAAATCCCTGTAAGTAGATGAGCCTAGCTCCTAGCTCAGGGTTTTCAGACCCAAAGCAGCTGACAATTTACATGTCCAGTGAGCTGGGTGGACTTCAGTCAGAAACACTTAAATAAGCTACTTGCTTATTTCTCTTTCTTTTATTCCCTGTTCTGCCCCCACTGGCAAATATAAAGGGTCACCTCTGCCACTGAGAAGCCTTGTGTGTATTGCATATATGCAAATGAAAAAGCTTGCAAGCAGTTCCTTGCAGGAGAACAAAAGTCAATTACTCCGTCTTGACCTACAATGCCAAATTGAGGCCAGTAAGACAAGCATCATAATTAGCTTCACTTAAGAGATCCGTCTGGAAATAGCAACTAGCAGTATTTGTATTCATTTAAATGGCTGTAAAGGCAGAAATGGAAAGCATTTATTTACTCTTTACTAAAGAGCAAAAGCTGGTGTTTTGGATCAATACCAGAAGATCTGGAACCTGGTGTGCAGAATGTTAGGGTGTCCTCCACATGTGAGTTTGAGAAAGCAGAGTGTTGCAAGTACGGATTTCACACTGCACCATATAAATTCTAGGGAGCATTTGCCCAAATCCTTTATCCAGTTCCTCATTTAGGCAACTTGAAAAGTCCATTCTGTTACCTTTTCTTCAGTTGGCATCAGGCCCATCTCAGGCTGGCTGGATCTGAGAGGGAAATTTCCTCATAATAATTTCATTTGCTAGCACATGTCTCTATGTTTGTCTCTTATTTTCTTTTGTTCTTTCTCGTTGCATAAACTCTGTGTTTCCTTAGTTACAAGTTAATAGCTAATAGTCTTGTTTGGAAGAATAACAACTTCCACTCCAGAAATAGTATTCCATTGCAGACTGTTAGCTGAGGTTCACTCAAGGCAAGGCATTCACTGGGCTTTTCTTTAAATGGAGCTGCTAATTGAAATACTGGTTGGCATTGCCAACTGCGTTCTGTTCACCAGTATGGGCTGAATAACTGCTGAAGGGAAATAGTTGAAATGAGGCTACCAGAGGAGGAGGTATTCAAAACTCAGAGCGTGAAGATGATTCCTCGTGACAGTGAGAGTGATGTAGGTGTATCAGCAGTCAGTCCTTTGCAGGCCAGGAAAAGCAGGACAGGAATGGTATAAAGACAGAGGTGTGGGTGGAGAGGTATGTTTTCTCAGAAATGTTCTGATGAGCATCACTATTTTGAGAACAATATTACAAGGAGGACAACTTTCTACTGCTAGAATGAGCTGTGGGAGGGAGATTTGAAGGAACATAGTTTTGTTTGGGAACATTCTGGGTAATACTTTCCACTTCAGACAATACAGTTGAGACTCAGTCTTGCTGTAGCTTACACACGTGCATTTCTGTTGGGGCCCCAAGCTGCCACAAGAGACATCTGAAGAGAAAGTTAAACAATTTTTACAGAAGCCAAATGTGGAGCAATAAAATTTATATTACGACAATGAAATATGCAAGAAAGCTGACACAAACATTTCCTGTTCCTATCCAAGCTCTGCTCAGGGCTGTGGGATAGCTGATCAGTTACCAGTACCTGGAATTTCGTCTCCCTGACTATATTGCAGATGCTTTGGTCATTGCTGTCTGCTCATAATGTCTCTTAATTTGCATGCAGATTTGTTTCTGCTGCAATTAATGGGACTAGAGACAAATAACGTTACCTTCTTTTCTCTTCAGATGTACTTTCACTGTGTTAGGTATGTGCTGTAGCTAAATGGAGATGTTTGTCGTTTGTATTTAATGTAGTCATTTGCATGCAAAGTCAGGCTGCCTAGTTCATCTGGTTTCCCAAAACAAGATTTGGAATGGCTTTCCTTTCGTACTTTTTGCTTGGATTGTATCCTTTCTTGGATTAAAATAGCCCAGTTCTTGTTGCCTTGTGTGCTCATCGAATGGTTTGCACACTCATGTTCTTGGAGAGGAAAGCTTAGGCATTCTGAAACGCTGTGGCACTGAAACTGCGGAGGGAATTTTTCCTCGTCTTTCCATGGCAGCCTCAGTGGAAAGAGGTAGTAGTTGATGTGAATGGCTTAAACTACTGGTTTATGAAAAGACTATATTAAAAAAATGGGGGTAACATTTTAGACGAGCGTAAAATGTGAACAGACACGTTTGTATCATGGTGAAATGTGTCTGAGAACACAGATTTATGTATAAGAGAAAGTAATCTTTTTGCCTGGGTTTAAATCATATTTTTTTGCTTTACAGTGGCCCATCCTCAGGAGCCTCACCACCCCTCTGAGAAGCCGGTCATCCACTGCCATAAATGTGGGGAGCCATGTAAAGGTGAAGTACTCCGTGTTCAGGCCAGACACTTTCACATCAAATGCTTCACCTGCAAAGGTAAGACCTTGGTATTCATCTGTTAGAAACGCAACAGTGTGGGCACATGTACCTTGAAACAGTGATGAGAGGTCAAATTTCCTGTGAAATCCTTCTGGCCAATTCCAGGATATTCTCATTGCTCAGTATCTGGAGGATTTGTGGGTGGGGAGGGTAAAGAGTGGGGGGTGAAATGGCTGAATCACACGTGTACAATCAGCAAGGTGATCAGCACCACACAGAACATATTCAATATGCAAACATCTACAATTTAATTGAAAAGAAAAATTATATAGAATCACAGAATGGTTTGGGTTGGAAGGGACCTTAAAGATCACCTAGTTCCAACCCCCCTGCCATGGGCAGGGACACCTCCCACCAGACCAGGTTGCTCCAAGCCCCATCCAGCCTGGCCTTGAACACTGCCAGGGAGGGGGCAGCCGCAGCTTCTCTGGGCAACCTGTCCCAGTGTCTCACCTCCCTCACAGTGAAGAATTTCTTCCTTATGTCTAATCTAAAACTGCTACCTTGCAGTTTGAAACCGTTACCCCTTGTCCTATCACTACCCTCCCTGACCAAGAGTCCCTCCCCACCTTTCCTGCAGGCCCCCTTTCAGCACTGGAAGGCCACTAGAAGGTCTCCCCGGAGCCTTCTCTTCTCCAGGCTGAACAACCTCAACTCTCTCAGCCTGTCCTCACAGGAGAGGTGCTCCAGCTCCCTGATCATCTTTGTGGCCTCCTCTGGACCCACTCGAGGAGAGAAGTCTCTCACAAGAGAAGAGTAGAGGGGGAGAATCATCTCCCTCACCCTGCTGGCCACGCTTCTTTGATGCAGCCCAGGATGCGATTGGCTTTGTGAGCTGTGAGCGCACATTGCTGGCTCATTTTCAGTCTTTCACCCACCAGCACCCCCAAGTCCTTCTCCGCAGGGCTGCTCTCGATCCACTCATCGCCCAGCCTGTGTCTGTGCTTGGGATTGCCCCGACCCAGGCGCAGGACCTTGCACTTGGCCTTGTTGAACTTTATGAGGTTTGCACGGGCCCACCTCCCCAGCCTGTCAAGGTCCCTCTGAATGGCCTCCCTTCCCTCCAGTGTGTCAGTCACACCATGCAGCTTGATGCCATTGGCAAACTTGCTGAGGGTGCACTGAATCCCATTGTGAGAGACATTTGATTTTATTGAGGGGGGATAGGATAAATTTGCCACCACTAGAAGACTCAAAATAGCACATTCTGCTCTGAATACTTGTGTTTTCATTCTTTTTCTTTCCTACTGTTCACTGAGTGCAAGCTACACAATAGGTAATTATACCTAAAAGAGACCAAAAAAATCTTAGGTCTTTTTAATATTATTTTCAATTTTATTTGCTTCGTACAGTTCTATGTAGACAGTCAGTTTTACATATTTCCCAAATAGTGAATTAAGCCATAATTAGACTCTGGTTGCTTTAGTGAGGTCTTTTTCTGTTTATTTGTGAAATAATGGAACAACACTAAACATCTAAGATTAAGTGCTTTATGAAGAGTCACAAAACAGGAAGAGAAAGTAGAGCCCTAGCAGCCGCTGGAAATCCAGTGTAAATGCTTGACTTGGTTTCAAATGTGCTGTATGTATTTCCTGTTATTTCCATATATGGGGTGCGGGTATGCTTGGATTGTATAGTGTGATGGGGTAAAAAAGGAATACTTAGGAAAATTCTGTCTTTTTTTAGGTTTTGTTATAAGTGCTTTTTCAAGGATTTGGATAAATCTGTATTTTTTAGAAACTGTTAATAGCAACACTGCCTTTCATTAGGGGTAGTTGTGAAAATTAAGCTCCTTTTAGCTGAAATGATTGCTGAAAGTACCTGCATTCAAAAAAACCCCACCAAAAAATACTGACATCAGAGAGAAAAAGGCAGGGTGGTCACTGCGGAGTATGTGCTGGGGCGAGGAGGAGCCTCAGCCATGCGTTTTAGGAGAGATGCCTTCAGTGAGCGAGCAGCGCGGAGGATCGTTACAAAAGGGAAAGGAGCAGGAGACGAGGGATATCTGTAGCAGCCATGGTGACACTGTGACCCTCAAAAAAAGGGCGTCTGAGCTGGAGCTTTTAAGCTGAGTGGAGCAGAAGATTTTCTTTCCTTGCTTTTCTTGTGGTTGGTTTTCCCTAAGTTCAGGAAACAGCAGTATGTGCACTCACGTGCGCACTATGTATGTTTGCATATCTATACATACATGTGCGTATAAGTATATGCATATACATACATGTGCATATAAGTATATGCATATACACACAGGTACTTGCTGGGGGCCTCCATTTTGGTGGGCCTTCAGGCTGTGGGGCTGGCTCCTCTTTCTCTGTGAGGGCCTCCCTCTCTCGCTGGGTCTCCACTCTCTGGGCCGCCCCTCCCACGGGCTGGGATTCTCTGGGCATCCCGCTCTTCTGGGCCTCCCTGACTCTCTAGGTCTCCATCTCTGCGGGACCTTATCCTCTGAGCCTCCCTGTGTGAGCTTCCCTACCTTTCCGGCTCCTCCTCACTTGGTCTCCCATGTTTTTGGGGCTCCCTGCCCCTCTGGGCCTGCCTTTCCGTGGGCTGGGATTTTCTGGGACTCCCACTTTTATGGAGGCCTCCCCTTTTTTGGAGCCTCATTTGCTTGGGGGCTCCACTTGTGAGCCTCCCGCTTGCTCTGAGCTTCAGTGACTCTTGTTCTCAGCCTCCAAGGGCTTTGAGTCTCTGAGCCTCCCAGATTTTGGGGGGGCATCCAACAGTTTTGGGCCACGCCAACTCTCTACAAGCCTCTGCTATATAAGCCTCTCACGTTTTTACTGGTTTCGTATGCTTTCAGGCATCCTACTCTTTTTGGGCTCTGCTTCTCCCCCCACTCCCCAATGTGCCACATGCACTCATGGGTCTTCCACGGTGCGAGTCTCTCGCCTCTCACTGGGCCTCCCCCTCTGTGGGCCGCCATTCTCTGTGCCCCTCCCTTCCTTTTGGCTTGGACCTTGTAATCTTATGGATCTCCACTGTGTGACCCTCTCCTACCCTCTGGCCCTGCCCCTCACTGGGCCTCCACTCTAAGCGTTGCCCTCAGGTGTAAGGGCTAGAGTCTAAGAAATTCTGTTTGTGTTACCTGTGGTTTTCAGTTAAATACAGCTACATAGCTCAAAAAATATTTAACTTTCTCCTGGATGTTGACATCTTTCATCTGTGTCAAGCTGCAGTGGTATCAGCCCGTCATGGAAGGTAGAGGAGCACTATCTGCACTATTCCTGAAATGCTTGGGGTAATGCATATGCCTTTCTGTATTACAGTTGCTATATTTCAAGCAGTATTTGATGTTATATAATACCTAAGCAGTTAGAAAACATCAGCAAGTTGTTTCATGTACTGTTTCAGAAAACACTGGTTTAAGGTATTTCCAGCAAGTGAGTGTTGTCTTTTTTGTGTTCGTTCGTCTTTCGCTGAGAGAAAGGAATGGGAGGTTGCTCCAAGTCCTATTTTGAATCTTACACCTGAGCTGCAGAGCTTGTTTATTGTTGGCCTCTCATATTTAAGTGAATGCAGTTTTTGTTTAAACCACGTAGTTATTCACTTATACTGCATGTTGCCTGACCATATGGTTCATGAGTGGGACACAGCTGTTCAACTAAGTGGGGTTTTTTCCTCTTAGTCTAATGGGTTTTTAATTTGACATGTCTGCGACTCTAGAGGAGGTGGAGTTAGACCCCCTCAGTTTATGCAGTATGTTGTTAGCTGGAGGAAGCAAGTGATACTGGGACCAGAACATATCAGCTGTATCTACAGGTGGCTTGGTCGTTCTTTCTCCTTTCTGTGTACTAAAGTTTGCCCTTGAGACTTAAGCTCATACATCTACAGTGTGAAAGACTTGAACAAGCTCATAACGTGTCTGTCTGTTGCCATACCTGCTGAAAATATTTAAGCTTTTACCCATAGACTTAGTCTGATAGTCTGGTGAAGATGTGGAAAAAATTAATTTCCTCATAAAGCTGTCACACTAGTTGTATAGTAGCGGTTTGATCCTGTTCTTACTTTGCTCTGTATGAGATTCCTTTTTTTTTTTTTAATTGCCATCCATGCTCTCAACTTTGTGTTTACATCATACTGTTAAGAGTATTTGATGTGACTGTAATCCTGCTTGCCTAGGTTATGTCAGAGATGCACAGGCACTCCGTGATTGCTTGGCATGTGTGTCAGTGGTGGTTGTTGCACTGCAGAAACACCATGACTTAAGCTTCCAGGCTGCATCAGCCGTGCTCATGTGTCATGTAATGTGATCAGACAGTCGTCTTCCCCTGTAGTTTGGTGCTCTGTCCATCACTGGAAGCTTTCTCAGAACAGAGTAACTGCTTCCTGACAAAGATGACAAGTAAAACCTCCACCGATTGACGTGTCCCCGTACCCCCACGATAAGATGCAGCTAGCTGTTACTCCCTGCCTGTTTCAGAACCACGTGTATACAGCTGGTTCGTCCTATGTGCCTGGCAAGGCTGTCTAGTCCTATTTGTGCCTCCAGATAAGAGCCGATTAAAAAAACCCAAAGAGCTGAAAATGGGGTGGCCTGTCCCCGAGAAGGTGAGCTCTGCCGGCCTCCCGATAGGCAAAGAATCTCAGGCAGTCGGCAGCTGACTCGGAGCTGGAGTTAACAGGGAAATGATGCACGGGGGAGGGATGAGAGACATTTAGGACTGCAGCTCCAGGAGGGCTATTCAGAGCCGTTGTCTCTGTTTTATAGCAAAGTCACTTACCTTGCTAAGGAATTACACTGTTCTGTGGTACAAATGCAAGTTTAATTGGATTCTGCATTATGTCCAGTTGTAATAAATAAGTCTTAAGTTTGATTTTACCAGTACACTACTCTTACTACAGCAAACTGTTAATGGTTACCAGGCAATAAAAGCAGCAGCTGAGAGGAGGGAGGGTTAGATGAGGAGGCTGGAGGGAGAAGAGACTCAGCTGGAGACTTCATTGTTTTACTTTTTGTCTTTAATAAGCATTAACATTAACAAGAATGAATTAGGAGC